TAACGTTAGCATTTCGCTTTTGGCGACTAGATTTATGATTCAAAAATTATAAAAGTAGGGTTGACATGTGGAGATTATCTGGCTGAACAAAACGTGATCCCTCTCTTAAATGTGTGTCAACCACAGACCTTATTTCGAGCTATTTTCCAAAATCCTATGGAGAATTTGCATTGGTTTTTCGCGAAGGAACCGGAAGAAGTTTACTTCCGGGTTTTACGACGCGTCACTGCGGTTCTCTATTTAGGACTAGATGCCGTTTGCATGGTGGAGAGCAGCAAGGTGATGAAGGGACCTTTGAAGACAGCGCCACTGCAGCGCATGCGCACTTCTTATCTCATAATTATGACTTTTTATCTCATTATTTCGACTTTTTATCTCATAATTATGACTTTTTATCTCATTATTTCGACTTTTTATCTCATAATTATGACTTTTTATCTCATTATTTCGACTTTTTATCTCATAATTATGACTTTTTATCTCATTATTTCGACTTTTTATCTCATAATTATGACTTTTTATCTCATTATTTCTACTTTTTATCTCATAGCCTAATTATGACTTTTTATCTCATTATTTCGACTTTTTATCTCATAATTATGACTTTTTATCTCATTATTTCGACTTTTTATCTCATAATTATGACTTTTCATTGGGATTTAATTTTTTTCAAGTGGCGGAAATGGGCTTCCATACTAGGGGGCCCCGTACTTATCCTTTAAGTATACATAAAATGCTAAGAAAAAAATTGTATTTTATTCTTATACCATAAGTCATTGATTTATTTTCATTGCTTAGAGCCATCTCCTTTGTATTCGACCTTTCTAAATCATTCATCTCCTTCCACTGAAATATTACGATCCCATTTATCTGCTACACTGCGTTGTTGGAAGGTAAAATGAGTGTGCGTCTTGAAAGCAGACCTGAAGAGGAGACCTAAATCATCTAACTTCAATAATCAGGCCTTTGATGAATATGTATGAGGCCTGACTCAAACACTACTCAATCACGTTGTGAGGCTTTAGAAGGTGTCAGTAGGTAAATGATTTGCATCTGTGACAGCAGCCATGAGAGGGGAAAGAGTCAGAAAGAAGAGCCAGCTGCTTCATTTCACCTTGTTGTGTTTGTGTGTTTACAACTTTGCTTGTCTGTATTCTGGTGTTATTTTAGAACCGGTACGGGATCTAAGTGTCCTTTTAATCAATTATATCCAAAGAGAGGTACTTCAGTGGTTTTAAGCGTGCATGCTTTTGTAGAAATTATTGTGAGGTCGCGTAGCAGATTTTGTGGGAAAACTATACATTTTTACCAGATATTTCCACATATTTCTATTCAGCAAGCAACTTAACAACCAAATTATACTACTAATATGGGCAATGCTGATCTACAGTACATCAATAAACAGTATGAGCTAGCTTACACTAGGCTTTTGAGAGTGCATTAAACCTTGTTAGCAAGTGAACAGAGAAGATGAAATACAGTGGATACATAACCGTTAGCCATATGTGTAAGCTAAAACTAGCCTACTAGAGAAATGGTTAAAAGCTATCTTAATGATCTCTCAAAGAGCAGATAGGCCTAGTTAGCTAAAATTAGGCCAATGCACTTTCAGATCACTTTTAACTGCAGTGTTATACTTTTTTTAAGTCTTAATTTGGGTGTGTACAGCAGTCATTTACAATTAAAGGGTATGGAAATAATTGTCTTTAGTACATTTTGGAAAAGCATATAGCCTAGTCATCTCAAGTAAACCAATGTGAACAACACCAAATTATGGCTAGTAAAAATGCTAATGCTGGTAGCTTTTAAAAACCACTAGCCACAGTGGCCGGTAAAGTAAAACGTTAGCGTTAAACTCTGGTGACAACGTTTTGGAACTATTGGCCATAGGGTTGCTAAACAGTTGTCGAAAACGGGATTTATATATTTTAGAGCATAAGACTGTTGCACCATACTGTACATGCAAATTAATTGAAAGATTCAAATGTTGAACTGACAATTTCGATTCCAAGACGAGATGCTTACAAGACCATTCAAAAAACGTCATTGTTACATTGCCACTTTGAGGTCGATAAGTATCATTTTATGTGCCTGAGAAGCTGGTAGACTTTTAGGAGAGATAAATACGAAGGAAGGATGAGGACAGCAGAATCAATAGAGCTGAATGAACATTTGGAAACGGACAGAGGGTGAGGGGTACTTTATCTTGTCGAATGGAGCTGTGGTAAAAAGGTTAACTACTGCTTTTGAAAATCTTTTCATTGATAAGAGGCAGTTAAAGCTGGGACTCAAATCCATAGCCATTAATATACACACAATTTATTTTAAATGGAAAAAGGCTTCTGCTGAAATCTTCAACAAAAGGTTTTACCGTGAGTCAGACTGAAGAGGTGAAGAAATTTCTTCAAATGGTGGTCCCTCCTTGTGTCATGTCAGTCTTCTTGGAGTGTTTCAATTACACACCTGCAGACTGAATCCTTTCTGATGTTGCACCACTCTCTGTCTGTTAAACCTTTGCTGCCCTCTGAACAGCTCTATACACTAACGTACTGAATTACATGCACTGTGGCTTTTAAAATCTATATGAAAGTCAAATGTGCTGCAACACATTCTGCTTGTTGTGTTGTCGGAAACAAAAACGTCAATGTTTTTATTAGATTTTTGTAAGAACAAGAGATGAATGCTTTCTGAGCATTTATACACAGCAAAGGGATTTGTATTTTCCCTGCTCTTTTTTTTTTCTTTACAAAATCCTCTCCACATGCAGGCTCGGGGAAACATAAAGCTGTTACTTCTCTGACATTCAGGGTGTTCATGTCTAAACGCTCAGTAAATCATTCTGTAATTTATTTTATAAGCTTCTGCCTTCAATCAACCCTCAAATGGAAGCTGTACTCCACAGGAGTTTATTCAAAAATCCTTGTTGGTCTAGAGAGAAACAAAATACTAAATAATATAGCAAATATGTTTTTGGTATCATCACACAGTAAGAGTAGACATCAAAACAACCCAAACAGAGTACCATCATCTCCCCTGAGTTTATACCACTTGGCTGTATCCAGGTCACTGGCATTTGCATATGATGACATTAAGTATATCAAGTATGTATTTGCATTTTCACAAGTGCTGTTCACCATACAATTACACAAAGATTTAGCATTATGCATAGAAAGACATGATTTGTCTACTAAGTATATTATATGTGGAGCATGCTTGAATCCTAAAATCTAATTTATCTCGCAACTGCACTCATTAACCCATTTTGGTAAAAACACAGATTCTCCATTATTTTGTAAATGAATTAAAAAGATCACGTGATAATTCAGAACCCTATGAAGCTTGTTGGCTCAGCTGTCTCCTGTATTTCACCTTTTGATCATCTTTGATGTTTGTAAAAACGTGCTTTTAGTCCACCTGTGGCACGTGTAATTGATTGAATGTGATTTGAAAAGGCTTGGACCCTAGTAGAAACACTGCTTTGTTGCATAATCCCTCTTTTTTTAGGTAAAAGTGACTCATTTTCCAATATAGCTGCTCTGAGCTGTTGCTGCTGAAAGCCAGAATGTGTTTCAGTTTTAATAACGTTAAAAGTAATATAACAATGTATTTTGTAAATAACTATTGTCATAGTGTTACAGATTTATGAGGAGAAGGGTCACAAGTATCTTCTTGTAATGTTAAAATCATGGGCTGATGGGGTTGTAAACTGTTTAATTTCCCAATTTATACATTTCCTCTCAGGTTTATTCATTCCTTACTGTTTGACTAATCCTAATGAACATTACACTGATGATCTTTTTATTTTTCTCAAAACATTTTGAAGATGACATTTACGCACGTAGCATATTTTGCATACTGTGCTGTGTTCGTCTCAGAGGCAGAAAGTGTGAAGAGTGTTCATCAGCTCATGGCCAAAGTGAAGTATTATTTATTCATTGTCACAGAAACTCTGCGTGTTCCTATTTTGTGCACAGCTAACATTTAATGAATGTAAAGAAAAGGTTGATTTAAATAAACCTGTTTATTGAATGAAAGTCAACAAAATACAACGGAAAAAACACACACATGTGACATTAACACACTGCCAAAGTGGACTGAAATGGAAAATGAACATTAACATTAGATCAGCACCTTATTAAATAAAGACATATATCATAAAGTATTAAAAAAGCTCTTAATCATGAATATTTACATCAATCAGCTGGAAAACTATAACATATATGTTTTTATTTTTGCAAATAACAGAGCACATTTTTCTGATACATTCAGCACATAAACCTCCTTACATTTGTTTAAAATGTAAATAATTAGGCACATAAATCCTTTGAATCAAAGCAGGCTAGTGCTGTTAAACATGTAGACATTCAGCATAAGATACATTTTTCTTTTGACACATTTTTCATGTCAATATGAACACCTTAGTCAGTCCAAACCGAAATTTAAGCGTAGTTGTCTTGAGGAATTACGTTATGTGCGGAAGCTTCTGGTATCTCCGTGGAGGTGTGGAGGCGCAGCACTCTGTGTGACATTGTCAGGATGCTTGACCCTTGACCCCTGTCCTTTCCTTTGCTCCTCCTCTGGGGCAGTAGGTGGCGACACAGGTAGGACAGGAACTTGTTGTGCAATGAGGCGTAGATGAAAGGGTTGTAGCAGGCGGAGCTCATGGCGATCAGGTGAGTGGAGACCTGGATGATGTTCACGTAATTCTTCCCTAAGATTGAGAAGTCTGTGTCCAGGTCGCGGATCAGGTTCACCGCCTGGGAAGTTAAACTTTGTTTAGCATTCAGCAATCATACAAGAATAGAAGTCATCTGAAACTTAATTCAAGAATAACATCTTTGTGAATTTGTTTTTCATAAAGGATTAGTATGGATTAGGTACACCCCTTTACCATTAAAAAATAAATCAGTTCAAGGATTCATAGTTGCTGAATACTTCACTTGTGAATCCATGTTTTTTTGAAGTAGTGAGCATACATCTCGATTAATGAGAATCGGATTGTAGAGCTAGTAGTTGTGTGTCGTTTTTGAATTTTTTCTTTACCATGGGGTGATGCCGATTTTTTGGTTTCAAAAGATCAAGGTAACACGGGGTGATTAACCGATTTAAAGATGGTGCACTGCAACCACAAAAGGATTATTTTAACAATGAAATGATCATCACTCATGAAGGCCTATTCACCAAAACACTCATTTTTGCATCTGTACCTGTAAGGGAAGCCAGGAGAAAGCGAAGCAGAGGACGGACACCAGCAGCAGGTAGAAGGTCTTCCTCCTCCGTCTGCTCCACACTGACCTCGCGGATTTCAGCTCTTGACACGCCGTCAAGCCCGACATGTTCCTCTGCTTCAGCTGATAGGATATAGCACAGTAGGAGATGGAGACAGCAGCCAGTGGGACAAAGTAGGAGAAGAAGAGAATGAAACAGGAGTAGATGAGACGGCCTCGCTCCTGTCCATCCCAGAACTCCTCGCACACGGCCATCTGAAGCCCCGCAGCCCTCAGGTCCAGGTGAACGGTGTGCAGGGCTGTAGGTGTGGATAACGCCAGAGAGGAGAGCCAGATCAGAATCACTAGACCCCAGCAGAACTGGCACCCTGCTCTTTTGCGGATGGGATAAGCAACAACCACGTAACGATCCACTGCGATGGCCATGAGGGACAACACGGCAGCGTACACGGCTGCAGACTGCATGATGGAGACAAAAAGACACATGTGGGGTCCAAACACCCATCCACGCTGGTCAAAAGCGTAGGATGCAGTCAGGGGGACGCAGAAGATGCACATGACAAGGTCTCCCAGTGCCAGGTTGCTGATGAGGAAGTTTGTGGTGTTGTGTCTTTTCTTGTTGTGCCAGATGAGGAAGAGCAGGAGGAGGTTGCCGGAGCAGGCGACCAGCACCACGACAGAGTAAAGGGGGATAAAGATGGGCTTCAGGTCGTACAGGAGTTCCAGACCAGAAAAAGATGGGGCTGAAAACGGGGAGGCGGAAAAGAAAGGATGAGAGGAGTTCCAGCAGGAGGAGGACGAGGTGGGTGAAGAGTCAGTCATGGGTGGGGATGAAGAAGAGGCCCGAGTAGAGGAGTTCACTCTGGAACAGTTTGAAGACTTCTCCCAGTCCATGGCTGCAGACAGAGCGAAAGTTATTCCTAACCTGCTGCATATTTTGCATATAGGATACATCATATAAAGCAATTATATTCAACCCAAAGCGACTTGAACACCATAATGAGATATGGAGATTCTAGACATGATTGAAGAGTGAGACAAATTAGTTTCAATCTTCAAAACTCTTGATCAACCTCCTTCATAGGCTGAATGGCTCTAAATCCCCCTCAACAATAATACGTCTCTACTTCCATCTGCTTCATCTTCACATCATTTTATCTTCCTCTACTCTTCAAAAACTAAAAAAACTAAACAACAGTCTAATCTACGTGAGCTTCTTTTTGACCCTTCTTTACTCTTTCCATATAAAGCACAGATACCATCCCAGAAACAAAATCTCAAAGATTGGCCTGATAACCCGCTCAAACATTTGTAGATGAAGTCTCTTCTGACGTCAATGGTCCGGCTTCTGCTGAGCAACAGGGGCTCCTCGCTTCCACTATACAATCTGATTACATGTGTGAAAGGGGGACATGCATGCTGATTTGTTCAAATGTTTGCACAGAGGCTTGGAAAATCTGTTCTTCATGGCTGTGACTGAATATTTGGTACATTTATAAAAACAACAAGAGAGCAGTTGAGAGGGGGCGAGAGCACTTTAATGTGACTTTAGTTTTTAAATTTGAAAGGGAAATAAATCTGTCTTAAAAATGAAAGGGTTTTGACTGTAAAGCACCACTTTGTATTATGTTTAAGCTTCGTTAAGCAGAGCATCCTCATATTGACAATTTCATTATATGAAAAAAACAATGAATCACAGAATATCTACAAAAATATACAAAACAAATCTTGTCAGATTAGCCAATGGTCTAAAAGAAATGAGAAAGCGTCATCTCTAAATGAAAAATATTACCATGGCCTGCTATAGAGCATGAAGAAGTGCTTATTAATGACCTACTTAGGCTTAGACACCCTGAAAGCAACATTTTTCATAATGTCATTAAATAATGTAAGAATTTTCTAAGATGGTAAAATCTTGTCCAAAACAGATGAATATGTCCGCTTCTCATGCTGATCCAGCTTATTACCTAATTTAACTGACCTTATACATTGATTTGACAAAAAATGAGCAAACACTTTTCTTTTTTCTATCAATCTGACAAGCCCTTAATACACAAACTACATATCCCTCTTGTATCAGTCAACCATTCATTACCATAGAAACAATCTAATGCAAATTTGACAGCTTTATTGAGTGCATGCATTTTCAAAAAAGTAGGAATTAAAAGAAATATCACCTTCTGAGAGTTGTCAATGAGACATTTCTTTAATGACTTGGAAAGTCCGGCATCTGTTTGTGTCCTCGGATCGCAGTCAGTCCAACTGTTGTGCTGCCTCGCCACTTCACTGCAGAATAAAGAGGTGTGCTCTCTCTCTCTCTCACAGCAGAGGATGTGCTCATGTTAGTGAGTCACCTCCAGTGAGATGGTTTGACTATAATTACCCCCAATAAACAATCATTATAATATTATAACATTAATATAGTACAGTACCAATTTGGCAATAAATAGCACATTTATAATGGTTGTTTTTATGGCATTGTATCCCTATTATTTTCCTATTGGGTCTTTGGTGACTTTGGTTTTATAAAATACATTTCTAGTGATCCTGTTACATTGTTTTTCCGATATTGTCACTCATTTAACCTGCATTTAAACTGTAAAAGACGTCTTCAAGGACTGGAAGACCGGATTTTGACTTAAAAATATTTTATCCCTGAGTCGCTTGTTTGATGTTAAAAGTCCAGCTGTGAAGTGTTTCCACAATGAGGCCACCTTCTAGACAAACACACCCAGAAACCTACATTGAGGAACTGAAATTGAAGGATTAAGTGACTAACCACGACCTTTCTCTAGCGTACACACGTTTAATATTCATTAAGCTAAAACTAATTCAAAAATTATGAGTCCTGGAACCATAGCTACTAAAAGATCTGCGTCTGTGTTATTCACAATCTGAGTATATCTAAAGGGTATTTCAGGAAAAAAATCAGTATCCTCATACTCCTTGTACGGAGCATGTCCATGAACAATGTGAAGTGGAAATATTTAAGGATTTCTGAAGAGGTGTTATTATATTTATGCTAATTTAGGATCACGCTTAGAACAAGTTTGTATCAAACAATGGTCACTGTCAATGCAACAAAGCACCCAATTTCACTGCACACTTTTTGCTATATTTTCCATAATCTGTATAAGAAGGTATTTACTAGTATTGATGACTCATAGGTGCAGTAACCTTAGACCAAAAACAAAGTTTGTGTATTTTTTATAACATTGTATTTATTTTCATCACAACTGTCCATGATTGCTTTTAATTGAGATATTTACTTTGGGCCACATCACACACACTTTAATGGTGGAGCCTGCTGTCTGTCATGCTGAGTGATAGTAGTTCAACCTTATCTTGTAAGCTCCATTGGTTATTTGAGTGATATTGGACTTGTGTACAACCTGTCAACAAATACATGGTATCCAGTTTGCAGATTCATGAGGCAATCCAACTCTAGAAAAAGCAAAAAACAACTGTGTCCACTGTTTAATCACTGCTTTTTGTGTTGGCCAACACAAAAAGCTTGAAGCCCCATTTGGTTGCCATTCTTGTCATGTACTGCTTTCATGTTTCCACATTCTCTCATTGGATCTGTGGATGATTAACCATCCGTTTTCCACTTTTAGACATCGGATTGTCAATGTATTTTTCTGTCATTTTGAGCCTATATTACCATGTAATCTGAACCATATTTGTACCTGCCTGCATTCACTCTTTCCGGCCCTATTCCTGCTATTCCGTGGCCTTTAAACAACTTCTGTTCACACAAGCCAGTTAAGCGCATTTATGCACCTTTTAAATAAATGTTCGCTATGGATTAGTGTCTGCATCCATCTTGGCCTCGACCTGTCCCGATGGGATGACTGTGAATGTAAAACTTAATTCACATTTTATTGTGGATCCCTCTTGGTGTCAATACACGGCCGTGACCCCTATACCACTTGAGGAGGGGTGATAGAGCTGCTTGAATAATTGAATCTGACAATCTCACACTATTGGTATTGCATGTAGTACTAAAGTGTTTTTTACTATCAATTTTTATATTATTGTGTTGGTACAATTATACTATTATTTTTTTTCCCCCTTTCCTCAACCGAGGACATTTAGGGTTAAATGGCTGCCATAACCCTTTTTCACAGGGGACACCACTGGGGGATTCTTTTAATAATACGTCCCACATATGGAAATTACATTTTAATCAAGAATAGATGCCAATCAAACTTTAATTTCCTGCCATTCGCTGCTTAAAAATATCATCCGTCATCCCAATCTAACCTTTTACCACAAAGCAAGGCTCTCCAAACCTTGAGTCGGAAAGTCACTGACTTGTCTCACTTAAACTGAAAGAAGCATCCTCAAGAATAAGACAAATAAATTCCACTTAATTATATAAAGATAAGATGCACAGTTTGATCTGCTTTAGATAAAGAAAAAGTGTTTAAGTGTTTTCAGTTAATTTCACATATTTCAATCCTTTGGGTCCTGAAAGATAATCGAGGTGGTTTTCATGTCAACGGCCTCAACGAAAAATATATTCACATTACAAAATGAAGCCATGGTGGCTTTTATTCAGATGAGCACTATTTGATCAAATCTTACCAAGCTGAATTGATATCATTCAGAATAACACTCATTTGCCAACATATTACATAACTGACAGTAATAGTTTTTTAATACAACAGATTTGCTTAAACCGTGACTTTATGAAGTTTTAAATGTTTAGTTTTTGATCAAACTTTGTTTTCGATAGGTGTTAATTCAACTTTGAAGGGTCTACTTTGTGTGGCAGTTCAACTGTGCTGCAAACGAGTGAACTTTACCATATAACCACATTTTTGTTGGATTTGAGTTTTTTTTCCAGTTTTTTTCACTTCCTCATATTTTGCACAAACCTTAAGTGATCCCAACACAGCTCGGCCTGAAAACACCTAGACTGATAAGCTACAATGATGCTTTGATGTTTAAGCTTCCTTGGGAACCTGATTTGATCTCAAATACTAAATGTTAGATCCTATATTTCTCATAATGCTTCTCAGTAGCTTCGCTGCATGCTACACCCACAGCATCTACACTTTGCAGATAAAGAACATTTGGTTATTTGATACCATCTTGAGATATTGCTGTCAAAAAGGCTTCCTGCACTATTAAAGAATAATACAGTCCTTAATCCCAAAGGCTAAGGCTGCATTCAGAATCACAAACTGTTTCTTTTTACTATTAGTTTTTTCCAGAACAGCCAACTATGACCTGCTGTCCGCATGCAGTATAAATACAATTGGGATACAATAGTCTTATCCTTGCACCTCGAACATTAACCCTTATGCTGTCTTGCTCAAAAGTATTTTTGTTTTAAAGATAACTAAGGATGTATGGGTATTTGAAATGCAAAAATATCCTATTCTAAATTGTAGTTGTACTACTGATAGTGCAATCCAGCTAAATTAAAGTCCCTTGGTTCAGCCTATGTGCAGAACAAATCAATTATACTTTTTTTTCAAACATGGGTAAAACTTTATTAGTAAAATTAACATGGCAAACATAAAGACATTTGCAATATGATAAAATATGTTCAGGCATAGATCAGAGTATTGCTTCTCAAGATGATACCATTTTTAAAAACATTTAAAACAGAACTGCACGTGGTCCTTCATTAACCTTTCAATATGTATTCAAAAGTAGAGAGCCGTTCTTGTTACAGATATAATGGAGGTCACTACAAAGACTAGATGCTAATTTTACTGCTACAGGACAAAACAAATCTAAATTAAAGTTCTTTATTTGCTGGTGTGATTTAGTAGAAGGGATGAATAACAAGGATTGAAGAAGTACTTAACACTCAGTTGCTGGGGATACGGGGGATGATGATGGGCTGTAATTTCTTTTTTGACCACTGTTCACAAAAGCTTTGGCCAAAACACTGCTATTACATTACACAGCTGAAAATGGGAATGGTTAATGCACGCCGAATGAGTTCTTTTTTTCAGTGTTACTATTTGAACACACTCATTTCTCCGGGCTGTGAGCATCATCTTCCTCTGGTTTGTCTTCATCTCTCTTTTCCTCTTCACTCTGTGTTTGGTTTGGTTCAGCCGTTTCATTATTCTGAGACGGCCTCAGAAGGAACTCCAGCTCTTCTGCGCTAATGGCCACCTTTTCAGGAATCAGCCACCTCTTAAAGTGTTCAATAGCACTAGGAAAGAGAGGTACACAAGAAGGTAAAGTAGAAAGTCTAAGACCAAAAGAGTATTAAGCACTGGACACAAGTCTTATCCTTGCAACACAAAATGTGAAATCATTGAAAGAAAACGCAGGTATATTAGAGCATACTAAAAAAAAAAAATGGGTCACCAAAGGTTGTTTTGCAGTTATTTTTGCAACATTCAAAGTTAGAATATATAATGAAAAAAAAAAAAAAAGATATCATCTTTAATTGGGCTTAAATGGACAGATATCAGCAGATCATAAAGCAAGAAGAGGATACAAGCTCTCTTCGGGCAAGATAACCCTTCACCTAATGTTTGAATCCTGTCAAAACACCTTGTGTTAATGCGTAACCGTTGCTTCCCATCTTACCTTTGATCCATTTCCCCGCCTTGAAAGAACTCTGAGGGATGAGCATCGTGCAGAAATCTATCCCAGCATTCTTTCTTAGCTTGAGACAAGGAGCACAACATGTCCTTGGATGTCACATCACTTGACTGGCCCTTTATCTTCTTCAGGCGGTTCTCTGCACCAAAATGTAGGCAAAAAAACAGATTTGACATAAAAAGAATCAGGATGCAGATTAGCGTGAGACTCATGATTTGGCCATTTTTTTTTAACATAATCCTAGTGGTTGTTCCCTCAGTTTATCCTTAAGTAAAATATTCTTTCGTTAAATTTGAATTTTCATTATTGATTAATCTGAAGTATGTCATTTCAGTGGATTGATTCATCATTTAGTCCAGGGCTGCACATATTGATTATATATAAAAACAGATATAATATAAATTGCCGTTTTTTTGTTAATTATTGCATCTAAAACATACAAAATGTGCAACTATTGTTTCCCATTAACCTGTGGCACACATGTAGTACCAATGTTGACCCTCTAAGGAATAATTGTATATTGTGTAAGAAAATAGGTTGTTTTTTTTAACGCCTTTTTGGACCAAAACCATATAATTCCTATGATCTATCATACTACTTGTTTGGGGATGAAGGGACAAAGCAGGAAAGATGTCTGTACCTAAACTGGCTATGTAGATATCAGAATCCTCCATGGGTTCCCATATGGCGTCAGAAGAACTGTCATTTGTCCCGTTTGAGTGACCATTGACCTGCACTCCCACTTGTGCTGCTGGCTCGAATGAGTCTCTGAACTCCGTGTTGACCTCCGGGGCCGCTGCAGCCTGGGTCCCCGGCAGACTGGAGCAGATCTCGGTCCACAGCTCCCCGCTGGACCGGGCCCCCTCCTGGCTCCTGAAGTCGTCAATCATTGTGACTAACCGAGAGAGCAGAAGTCAACAATAGTTAGCATTAGCCACATTTGTTTATGTTCTAGTGGTTCCTTCAGGTACATTATAACAGGCCTGTAAGACATCTAGATACCAAGGAAGGCAAACAATGCAGAAACCCAAACAACGTTACTTAACAGTTTACAGTTTTATCTCAAAACTGAGCTTTCTTTTACATCAACATACCTAGCATTGGTCTAACTTCTCGTGGTGCTTGTCAAATGTTCTTCACACGATGTTCATGATACTACATTACAAATAAATAAATCTTACCTGTGTGAGTAATCAATAGAATAACCCTTATTTCCTCTGTTGTATTAATTTTAAGATAAAATATTAGCCTCACAAGCTAACCGTGCCCATGATCCACAATCTTTAACGAGCAACATCCAACATCCCACTTCCTTATTTGGGCGCATGTGATTGGACGTCGTAACCGTCCATCAAACTGTTTTGAATTGTGATTGGATCTCTGAGGTTTCATGCCTGATAGTGCTTATCCTATTGGCTGTCTCTGTGTTTCGCTCAGTAGGGAATCAGGAAGTTTGTCTCAGCTGGAAGGAACAGTGCAGAACTACCAAGGTAAACACGCTCTGCTAACCTCTCTATATTTACTTTATTCACAAGTATTGGTCATTTGTAGAACTGGCATTAGCATTTTCAACTGTTGCATTTTATTAAACATTTATAATGTAACGTCAACTTGGTATTGTTTCGTATTATGCCATATTAAATCGTATCATTACCGACCATTTCATGTATGTTTAAGATGTTACATATATATGTCCTCCGGCTTGCATGCGCTGATCATCACGTCACTGCAGTGAGACCCAGTGTAGGAGATGCACGCTGCAGTGCGCCTGGCATTAGTGGCCGTCCCGATGGGTGTGCTGCTGTCCCGGACCATGGCGTGGATGTCCAGCGGCAAAACACACGCAGAGCTCATCAGCAGACTGAGGGGTAATGTGCTGATGCTTTGACATCACAGAGTCTTAGGCTCACATATCTCAAGGTCAAGCTAATAAAGACATTTATTTGTACTTTACTATATGTTTTTTATTATGTTGATTTTTCTTTGCTTTTGTTTGTTACCTTTTATTTGTATTTTTACTTATTGTATGGTTTGTCAGCTGAGCTGTGTGATTTTTGGGTACTTGAGGGTTATGTCGCCACTTTTTTTGTCTTTTTCAGAGTCTCTAAATAAATACGCACTTTTCTTTAACCCTAACCATCTTAGGACCTACCTGGCCGAGTTCATCAGGAGCAAGCTACCCGCTAGAGTCGATGCATCAAATGACAAAGTGGCGACAGATAAGCCACAAGTACCGATTTTTGTATTTTATTAATTTCTTTATTTCTCTGTATAGCTCTTTGTTCTAGAGGTTTTAAAGTGCTTTACAAATAAAGTTGTATTGAGGTGTTAGTCAGAAGGTATGGATCATTTTACAGAGATTTTAAATGAAAAGAAAAATGACAAATAAACTATAAATATATTGTATGACTCACAATTATCAGGGCATATTTTAAAAAAAACTAAAAATGGAATAATTTTCAAAATGAATTACATTTTGCGCTAACATGGAAAATTATTTTCATTGCCTCCTCTCTTCTTCCGCAGATCACGGGGTGATCCGCAGTGACCGAGTGTTTGATGCCATGCTGGCTACAGACAGGGGGCTCTACTCCATAGATTATCCTTATGCAGACTCTCCTCAAACAATAGGTTTTTATTTCAGTTGCTCTTCACAGACCATTTCATGTATTTGCCCGACAATACGAGTACTTTATGTTTTGTGTTTCATGAGCACAGATATTTGCTGTGACTTTGTGTTGTGACATTTTCTTATCACAGGCTACAGAGCGACCATCAGTGCCCCCCACATGGTGAGTAACAACACTCTACTGCTGTGAGACCTCCTATAATTCAGTTTTAATGTACATAAACATGATTGGCTAAATGATTTCCTTTGGTGGCTTGACAGCATGCTCATGCTTTGGAGCTGTTAAGTGACAAACTAACTGAAGGAGCATCTGCACTCGATGTGGGTTCAGGAAGTGGATATCTCACAGCCTGCTTCGCAAGGATGGTAGGTTCTGTACACACTTTTACATGTTTCCTACAAGTTTGCGTGAAATACAGTGTATGATTGAGTGCACTAGATGCATTTTCTGTGGTTTGTAGACAGGACCCAGTGGTAGAGTGGTCGGAATTGAACACATTGATGAACTGCTTAAAATATCAATAAAAAAAGTGCAAGGGGACGACCCAGAACTGCTCACATCTGGACGCATCAAACTTGTAGGTGAGTCAGAAGATTCACAAATAATGGCCTTTTCTAATTTTGATGTTGCACAGCTATAGAGATTTTATTAAAAGTCATACCTGCATCCGTCCACAGTGGGAGATGGAAGACTCGGCCACCCAGAAGGAGCGCCGTATGATGCCATTCATGTTGGTGCAGCTGCAGCTACTGTTCCCAAGGCTGTAAGGATGCGTATGACTTTGACTCTTGTGAAAGAGAAGCACTTTTAGGGCAAAATCCACAAACAAAGCACATTCAGTCAAGGTTAAAACACACTGCAGTACATCTTATAAGTAATTATCAAACAGCTAATGGTCTTTAAAGAATATTTCCTAAAGTGCTGGAAGCTGTTGTATCAGAATTGTCTCCACCCTCATGGTAAATTTCTGTTTTCTGCCATCTGTTTGTTAAAGCTCTTGGAGCAGCTGAAGCCTGGGGGGCGGTTGGTTCTCCCAGTCGGCCCTGAAGGTGGCAGTCAGGTGCTAGAACAGTACGATAAGCAGAGTGATGGGACCTTCCTGAAGAAAGCTTTGATGGGAGTGGTTTACGTCCCACTGACTGACAAGAGACGCCAGTGGCCTGGGTACTGCAGAAAAACTCACATTTCTAACCTTGATATTTATAGGAAAACCACTTTATGTGCTGACTAACCTCCAGCAGGGGCCTCTGTGATCTTCAGTGTGTTTTATCCCTCATGAGTCACATCCACCTCCGCATTATAGCTTGAGTCTGATGATATCCACAATGTCCTTCCTTCTGTCCCCAGAAGTGAGCTCTGACTGCAGTGTGGTTGCCCCCACAGGAGGTGGCGTTGGTGCTGCGTCTCTGGGGCCCCTTAGCCCTCCTCATGGTTTCACTGAGCTCCTGTCTTAACGGCCACCTGCCCCGCTGGTTCGTCACCTAGCAACGCACAAGGAGGATCTCACCCTGTTTGCCCAACCAGATTGTGTTCGAAGGATGATAAAACAGTGAGAGACTGAGAATGAACGACCACCGCTGGACTGATGACCTTAAATCCAGTGTCCATTAGAGAGTGATACTGTGGATAACTAAGGGAGGTTGTCCGGGATCTAAGTGATTCACAGTATTATTTATGGGTGAGTCAGTAAAGAGAAAAATGCACTTAAGGAGGTAGCCTACAGGACTACTTTCTTTTGGAAGCTTGTGGTAAATTCAGATGAGAGTTAATATATGACCTTGTGTGCAATCTATGGGATGTTTTGGCTATGAATAACACATAACGATAAACCCAAATTCTAGCCATGGAAGTTTAATGAAAAATTCTGCAAATCAAAAGGAAATAATATATATTTTGTGGTAAGAATCCTTCTCTTACTGCTTTTTATATTGTATGTTAAAGATATGTGCTCTTTGACATTGATTATGTACAGCAGAGTGGGCATTGTGCCAAAATGTTTTACTATACAAAAAGTAAATTATGTGTACACAGATTAATGAAATAAACCCACTAAACAGGAACTTGATTGTTTTTCATTTTTCTTCAAATAATAATTACATCATGGTCAGGAAAAGGAAGCAATGTATATTATTTTGAATGAGAGTATAGGACACAGTACATTGAATTATGTTCAACAGAAAATGTCATTTTCTGCAGGAGGAAACCTTTTTCAATATCTTTCATATCAAATGTCATGTATGTATTAACTAAGCATTACAGATGATTTGTAAATAAGATATTTATTTTAATTGTTTATATTTTTAATATTTTTAATTGTTTGTAGTGTTCCAAAACCAGATATTAAGTCTTGGCTATTCTGTCACAAAATAATAGAAATTGCCTAATCCAAAAATGCATGAAGGAGAAAGTATTTTACCCTTTATATAACCCTACCTCATAATATTTAAAGACATATTGCAAATGTTTTTTTTTGGTGAAGATGGTTGATTCCTAACTTCCCACACAAGACACAATCTTTTTATTGTAGCATTATGACTTCAACCTCATGTTAGTTTATCACTCTTGAGTTTTCAGTTAATAAAGTCATATCTTCTTACTAAACTATATGGCGATAATGTGTCGGTGATGAGGTGTTTTGCCCTCAGGTCTCAAAAAAGGAAGAAGAGACAGAAAGGTTAAATAGAACTACATATCGGACTGAATGGACTACATAATACTGTCATCAGTATGCGCACGTAGTGAGAAGGACCTCTAGCTAGAGAGCAATGAACGTGAGTGTGTCGGTTATTAGAGTCTTGAGGAAATGTAATTTCGTGTCTTTCTTCACGTTCGGACAAACAGGAGTTACAATTAGTCAAATTACAACAATACTTTGCAACTTTATTTCGTTTAAAAGCTTTAATTTCACTCTGTGTTCTCCACGGTGTCCACAGAGCAGCTCGACGATGGAGCAGGCAGCTGTCGCAGAGGTAAACAGTCCGGAGTCTGAGGAGAAAACCACCACCAAAGAGGTGACAGAAAGTGGAAAAAGAAAGAGCGAAGAGACGGGCGATGCTGAGAAAAAGGGCCGAGGCAAGAAGCGGAGAGGAGCCGGTGGAAAGAAGCTCCGTCCGGGCGAGAGATACGTCCCCCCTCCGCAGAAACGGAACCCCGGTGTCAGCTTCTGCAAGGAGCATTTCGACGAGACCGACTACTACTTTGACGGTGGTCTTCGTAAAGTCCGTCCGTACTACTTTGACTTCAAAACGTACTGCAAAGGGCGGTGGATTGGGAAGAGCCTTCTGGAGGTGTTTAAGCATGAGTTCAGAGCGGAGACCATGGAGTATTACCACAGGGCTGCCAAAGAGGGCCGCATCCGGCTGAACGACACACCTGTGGAGGACCTGTCTGTGGTGCTCAGGGTCAGTGCTGCTTATGATGCTATATCTGAGGTGTTAGCACAATGCTAGCAGGGCTTAATGACAGAATAACTCAGGGTAAAGTCAACTGAGTTCAGGCTTGATCTAAGTAAACCAATTATTGATACTGCACATGATGTATTTTATTCTAATATTCACAGTATTTTGTCATTTTATAATTTTCTTGTATATCTACATTTAATGTAAATATTTTTTCTAGATTTTAATATATGTTTTAAACAATTATGTTTTTTATAATGGTTCTTTTTGGGTCCCTTTTTTTTTACTATTTATTAACTGTGTTTATTTATGCACGATATTCACCGAGGCAAATTCCTTGTGTGTGTTGGCATTACTTGGCAATAAACCTGCTGTTTCTGATTCTGATATTAGTAGGTCGGATGGTTAACTAATGGTTGATTTCCTCTTTATACTTTTAAATTCATCTTTCATTTTTTATTGTAAGTACAGGCTTTTTCTGTCGCATGGCAGAACAAGAGTTAGAAGTGTTCAGCCCTTCCTCTATTCAAAATGTAACAATCAAAATCTTGATACTGCAATCTTATGGATTAAAAAAAGTCATATAGTACAAAACTGTCTTCTACAACTAGGAAAAGACAACAATGAGCATGTGCTACAATATCCTAAATCTAACCTATATATTGTTTTATCAACATTTCAATGTAATATAGATGAATTGCCCAGCCCTAGTTCAAAATATAAGAGCTGGTGATGGGATTTTATTTAAAACTGTGGTAACACCTTTTCCCTGACTCCACAGAACAATGACCTCATGAAGAACACAGTGCACCGCCATGAGCCCCCTGTGGTTGGCAGACCTCTGGAGGTTCTGGTGGACGACGGTGAAGTGCTCGTGGTCGACAAGCCTGCCTCCATCCCGGTCCACCCCTGCGGGCGTTTCCGCCACAACACAGTGATCTTCATCCTGGGGAAGGAGCGGGGCATCTCTGAGCTCCACACAGTGCACAGGCTGGACAGGCTGACCTCTGGAGTGCTGATGTTTGCCAGGACGCTGGAGACGTCTCAGAAACTGGACCAGTTAGTGAGAGACAGACAGGTACGTTCAGGTCAGGGAGGATTAAAGCATTTATTTGGGTAAACCTGTGGGACAACCCTTTATATCAGTGGGTTTAGACCATAGTAGTAAGATGTATCTTGTGTTATTATTCTTTAGCTTATGTCATATGTAAATATATAATCAACTAGATCTATATTATACTTTTTTTTAATTGTCAGAAAAATATGTAAACATTTTCAAACTTAGAGGCATCCATCATTTTAATCAAGGTATAGGCGTCCCCCTGTATCCTAATTTTTGTCCAGTTTTATGCCGCGTTATAGCAATAACATTTTTAGATGGTCTTTTTTACCATACATTTTGACCGGAATGTTAAAATATTCGGATGTCTGCATCTTAAGTTATCAGATAATTAAACAGAGAAAAGGCTACAGGACAGCGTCAGAGAAAAACAGATTTTATTCTATGTTTGAATTTACTTATTGGGACCATTTGTTATGCAGACACTCTCTGTAGATAATTCTTACAAAAACAAGATGATGAAGACGAACAATGAAGGAATACTAACCTCTTCTGTCTCTTCCTTTGTGCTTTCTACCAGGTTGAAAAGGAGTATGTGTGCAGGGTAGAGGGGGATTTTCCAGATGGTGAGCTGGTCTGTGAGGAGCCCATCCTGGTGGTTTCCTTTAAAGTCGGCCTCTGCAGAGTCGACCCTAAGGGGAAAGAGAGCAGAACCGTCTTCCAGAGGCTGAGCTTTAACGGGAAAACAAGCGTGGTCCGCTGTTTACCGCTGACCGGACGCACACACCAGATCAGAGTCCACCTCCAGTACCTGGGCTTCCCCATCCTCAATGATCCCATCTATGGGTCCTCCGCCTGGGGTCCTCACAGGGGGAAGGGGGGACAGGTGGACAAGAGTAATGAGGAGCTGCTGCAGGCTCTGGTAGAGGAACATCGCTCTCAGGAAAGTCTTCTCCTTCTGGATATACCTGACGATGCGGTTGGGATTGAACAAGAATTGGAAAAAAACAAGACATCTGAGAAGGTAGAAACATCAGATGGCACCTCTGAACTTCACACAAGTGGAGAGATTCATCAGAGCGACACTCAGGGGCCGACAGGTTGTAGCTCAGGCAGTGATAAGGTGATTCAGATCTGCACAGACCCAAACGCTAATAACACCTCACTTGAGTCCGAAGCTGACAAATCAACTGGAAATCTAACAAAAGCAACAACTCAACCAGAAACTAGAGATAACCTGTGCTCTGAATGTAAGCTGGATCGAGCAGATCCCACAGAGAAGGAGCTCATCATGTATCTGCACGCTCTACGCTACAAAGGACCTGACTTTGAATATTCTACACGTTCACCCGATTGGGCCAAAGAGGACTGGGTCGAGACTGAATGGAGCTTACCTGATGCTGACTGCTGATGGCCTTGCTGGTGTTTATGTCACTGCCTTCATGCCTTTTTTTCACACCTTTTTAAAAGCCTGACTAGATTTATTTAGTTTTGCTCCGAGGCATTTTGATTTGTCTTTTATGATAATGCCAATTTATTTTAGAGTATTCCTAATGCACAAATATGTTTTCCTTTTGACTCTAGGCTGTTTTAGCTTTAAACAAAAAGAGGATTTGGATTCTTACTTATTTTACATTGTTTTAATAACATTTCATCCTACAAACCTGTAATGTGCCCAATAATTGAACCAAGATTTGAAATAAATCAAAAGCCAGTCTGCAGGAAAATAAATGTTTTTTTCATTTATTTCTGTTACGTGAAAAAATGCACAACATTACATCTGTAAATAATAATAGTGGTGGTAATCGTTTAAGTTCTACTGTTCATAGGCAGGTTGTTTTCTGCTGAGTGCTGTAGAGTGAAGGCCCATTGAAGAATTGTGATTATACAGTCAATATGTCAAAAGCAAACACTTTTTACAAAGAGAAAGCTTGCGAATAACACTGCTCATAGGCACATTAAACACAAGTACCTTCTTGTCTAGGTGTTATGCTAGAACCACCATTGATGCACCCCAAACGCCACTGTTCTTTATATACGCAATATCATAAAAGGAACATAGACACATCTCTTATTTTACTTTTTAAAAGGACACACCCTTTTCACAAAACACACTTTCAGCTGTTTCTGACAGACGTTTGGCACATGCTGATTCATGAATAGCTATTAACACATAAAAAACAGCTGATGGGACATCCCAGCTGTGGGGCAGCGTGTAGATAAAGGCCTCCTTTTATTTTCTGTCTGAGTTTATATTAACCGTGCTGCAGCAAAGTTTGTACAGTGTGTTGCTGTTGAAGGAGTTGCATGTGATGGCACAACTACTGCTTTGAAAACAGAAATGAGAGCTTCTTCCTTTTCAAGGCTAAGACATGTGTATAAACCCACATATAGTTTTCTCTGCATTAGAAACCCTTTTTTGCCTTTTTAAGTACAGTAAACATAAAAATATATTTGGCACTGACACTGGAATAAACGGAATGACTCTTAATTTGACGGTGAAACACTAAAAGCAACCAAGCCATGACACTACAAAGGACACATTACTACATGTAGCTTTCTACGTCATGGTCACAAAGGACATACTGTACATAATGGCCAAATTCCAAACCGATAATACTTAGGATATTATTATAAATTATTATAATTTACTGTTCTCTCCACAAAGTGCAAGATCAACTGACCATAGTAAAGTGAAAGTTTGCTACTCAATCTATCTTCTGATATTCAGATGTCCATAAATGTATATGGCTCTTAAAGGTCAAATCCAGCATGTAGAAAGGCTGGCGGCTGCACCGGGCGACACTGTGTTTTCTTAAAACCCAGTCCAGGCACAAAGTAAACTCTCCAGGTGCAGCACTTTTTTTGTAAGAAAGCTTCATGTTAATTGCCTCAGATGAAAAAAGCCGTTTTTAAGAAGTCATGCTTTATATTGACTTTTCGCTGAGGAGACACTCATGCTCGGACCCTGTAGCACACACTGCAAAAACCTTAGCAGCAACTTTTAAACAACATGCTGTCACATGTTACATTTGCTGTTGGCTTAAATTCCCCTTGAGTGTTACACAAAAGCAACACTGTATGCTCCTTTTGTAGTTTATATATGCTTTTATAACTACAGTTCGTCTTTATATATATATTCAAAGCAATGTACACAGTGATTGCAAAAATTCCTCCAACTTTGCTCAACATGTATCCTCCCGCTGTCCATCCCTCTTTATCCAAACATCTGGCAGGTCGGGCTTACTGTTGGGTAAGATGACGGCTTCTTCACTCTGACTGTTGCGACCCTTACTTGTCTGGTAAACAGGGTCTTTCAGTGAGAGACGAAGTGTATCTCTCTTCCCGTTTAGATGTCCTGGTTGCAACTGAAACTCTTCTTCTGCTTCATTTTGCCGCGTGTTGGAAGGCCCTGGCTCTATGTCACTCAGACAAGTTTCATTCGAGTCTTCCAGGCCCTCGCAGAAGCTCTGAGACTGCGAGGAGAGACGCCCTCTGTCGGAGCAGGGCTGGTGACTGTCCTCTGTGATTTGGTCATCTTTACTGAGGGATGTCTGGTCGATAGTCTCCAATGTGTGGCTGATGATGGTGTCCTCCATGCTGGAAGATGAGGAGAAGGTTGTATTGCTCCAGTGTGTCACCCCACCAGACTGACCTCTGCATGTGTTACACAGCAGCTTATCCTTCGCTGCATCTTCCCGGGTGACTCCTACAGGCCGCAGGGTGTTTTCTTTGTATGGAGATGAAGTCTGAAGAGCTGGAGGTTGCTGGCTGGTCTTATTTTGATGACTGCACATCTCCTCACTTCCCCCATCCATGCTATTCCTGCCAACTTCTCCCCGGCAGTACTCGATCTCATCAGAGAGCACAGACGGCTGGTTGGACAGCTTACTGGTACAGGTGCTGTTTTCAAAGCTGTCGCTCAGTCGATAGGCCAATGGCTGCAGCTCGTACTGCTCTGGCCCTCGGCCCCCTCCTCCCCCGGCTGCAGTCTGTTTCTGTCTCTGCTGACGCTGGGGGTCGGGGTACAGATAGCCTCCTGCTTCTTTGTCATAACTCCTCCTCATTCTGGATCTGCCAAACGCCCCGTTCGAAGCCGAGGCTGCCGGGGATCCAGGCTCTGCTGCAGAGCAAGAGTTCAGCGCTCCGTCATTGTAATCTGAAAAACATGGTAACGTGATCTTGCCACAGTTTTTCTGGGGTCCAAAAAAGCAGCAAAGAGACTGGAAGAAGAAGGTTGCAAATCCACATGCTACACATTTCACCAAAAAGAGGAATATCCCCAGTTTTCTGAACAGCAAGACCGTGGAAGGCAACATGATGATCCCCATGGAGAAAAATGCACCAGAAACTATTGCTACAGGGCATCCCATCCTTTTAGTGGAGTGGGCTACTTTCCCAATTTTGTCTGAATGAGGAGCCAAGGTGTAGGAAATGCAGTAGTTTGCAACAAAGTCAACAGAGAGCCCTGCTGCTGATGAGATAAACAGAGCCTCGATGCCGCTCAGCTGCCATTCAAGAAGAACAAGCAGGCTAATTGTCACAAAAACACTTCCCCCTACAGCTACGGTCCCATAAATGCTCAGTGGAATATTCCAGGTGGTTAAGAGAAGTAAAGCAAACGTGATGGCTACTGAGAAGCCAGCTACTACGAGAGTCTCCGAGCTTAAAACGTGTTGCAGATCAAAAAGAGACAGCTGGCTGATGAACCAACCCTTCTCCAGCCCGTGTGGTGCTCCTGATATTTCTCTGTTGAACCATGTCAGGATTTCTCTGTAGAAAAGACTGGTTCTGCTGAAGTTGAAGCTGTAGAGGTATGTGGTTTTGAATCCCAACACAAGAGCTGCGACCCTGCCATCTGGCTGGAAGTACAGACCTCCGCTGTGGGCCAGATGGCCTTCAGCATACCTCTCCGCCAGCATCATACTGAGGCAGTTCTCAAAAACGCTGGGAGTGTAGGGGAAAGGGATGTCGTTACAGCAAGAATTGTCATCACTTTCTGAGCACCGTCTGACAGAAACCCACTGAATTAGCTCCTCCACAAGACAGATATTGTCCGTCGTAACGTCTTTATCCTCAGGTGAAGGAAGGGAATAAAAGCTTTTGTTCTGAACGCGTCCACATAAGTCCCTTAACCAAACCTGAGCATCTGGATGGCTCATGTTAAAGTCTGGGTCCAGAACCAAAGAGCCATTGCTCCTGGGGTTAAAGTGATCCCCGTTATCAGTTGGTTTGACACCCCAAACAAGCATTAAGGTAACTGGTTTATCCTCTCCATTCCTTTGTCTCTCAAACATAAACATATGTCGATACTCTGCATCGTATCTTTCAAACGGGTGACTTGAGCGGAAAAGCTTGGCCACACTGCTGTCCAAGGTGGGCAGCTTCATGCAAGGTTCAATACAGGACATGTAAGTGCCTCCCGCAGCGAGCACTGCAAACCAGCAAACCCAAATATACCTAAACTTCACCACCCCACAAGGCAGGATTTTCAGAAATAACAAGTTGGAAGTGTCGCTGATTCCTCTTTTTAATTCTCTCAGCTTCTGCCCGAGTGTGAAGAGGCATCTCTTGCGTGAGCTTGTGTCCCAGAAGCCGCCGGCGTTTTTGGAGCAGCATGGTTTCCATCCCTGCACTGCTACAGACGCAGAGGATGCTTCCGTGTAGCGCTCGCGCAGAATAAAAGAGCACGGCAGCCACACCAATGCCAAGATGGAGCTGATAAATGAGGCCGTTCCTAGATAAACAGAGAAACATCTGATGGCTGTGATGCTGCTGAGATAACCAGAGAAAAATGCTGCGCTGGAGGTCAACCCTGACGCTAAAATCAAATAGCCGACTTCCTGCAAAGCTCTGTTTACTCTTTTCTCCAGGGAGGCTGAGGGACTCTGGGATAGCTGCTGATTCCAGAAATCGGCGAAGATGAAAACCTGGTTGGAGCAGCTTCCTAAGAGAAATAGAGCTGCAGAGAGGTTGACCAGGGGGAAGAAAGTCAGGCGAAATGCTACTTTATAGAAGAAATAGGAGGTCAGGAGGGAGCCTGCGATTGCTATTACAGATAATGCAACTATGAAGAGAGAGTGGAGATAAAGAGCCATCGTGAAAAGAAGAGACACAACAGCTAGCACAGGGTAAATTGAATCTCTTGCCAGGTAATACTTGAAAAGCTTCTGCTTGATGCCAAAGTCCATGCCAGTGATGGTTGTATTGTTGTATGTCAGATCCCTGCCTTCGAGACTCTTCATGTAGATCTCCATCATGTGTTCCCCCTTGTCGACGGGTAAGAACAGAAGGCTGTACTTCAGCGTAGGGATTTGGTATGCAACAGTCTGTGGGCCCAGGAAGTCTTTATCGACCAGGTAGTGCAGGATTTGGAACACCACACGGGATTGTTTACAGCGGGACGGGACGGAGGAACAGCCGCCGTGTTTGGGTCTCTCGACACACGCCTCCACTAGGTGTCCTTCGTGATAATGCAGAGCACATTTCCGGAGAAGGTTCAGAGACTCAGACACCTGGTGATAACGGGAGAAAATAGAAAAAGGTATTCAGTGCACTGCAGATTTAGTTATAATGAAGTGTTTCAAATTACTTAAACAGCTTTCCCGTAGCATGCATCATCAACCTTAACTTAAAGGCAAACCTAAGAAGTGTTATTTATCATTCTGTTTTTGTGTGAGTTACAGAGTGATGGAAAATCAGCCTAAGAGATGTATTCCTTCTCTCTATAATAGAACTAGAAGTCACTCAGCTTCTTACCTAATGTGTTATTTACTGATTTGTTTTGGCACCACAAGAGGAGTGCCATCTAGTTACATTATATGTGAGATAAGGCAGACATTTCTAAAGCCAATATCTACACTCGCACCAAAGCAGTCTACATTGAGCAATACAGGAAGGTGGAAGAAATATATACCACTCTCTCCTGATCTAACTGTGGGAAAATATTTTTTGTGTAAAGAAATGTGGACTATTCACTTTTACTATCAAGTACAAGATGGGTTAATGAAGTGTACCAAGTAATTCGTTTGTATGGTTGGTGTTTTTTTAGTAAAGCTACAGAACCTGGTGTGAGGTGAGGCTGAGGCAGCAGGACGCATTAGTGAGGACAGCCAAGTAATTCCCCAGAGACCAGCTGGGACAGCAGCCGCCTCGGGACGCTCCCTCCGCCTCGCCCCTCACATGCTGCTGGCACAAGTCCTGGAACTGAGCCTGGGAGCGAATCTGTATCAGAGAGAGGAAACATTTTTTGAACACATGCCCAGTTTTGAAACAAATGCACTAAAACATATGAATGCCAATAAAGTAGTGACAGTCAGCATCTGAGCAAGTTGGCTCATGGCATTAGAGAGAGGAGAAAGACAGTATGAGTGACAGACGAGAAAAGATTAACTAAAGTGTTTAGTAGATGAGAGCTGACCCTGGATTGCTCCATCTCACACATGGCGTGGATCGCCTTCAGACTCCAGAGACTGGCCGAGTTTTCAGATCGAAACACCAGCTGAGCCAGATGCTTGCCTGCGTGGAGAGAGACAGATGGATTCAACATTCTTGAACAAGATGACCAGCAGTGATTCATCACTTTGTTTGGATGGTGACAAATGTTCAGAATACTTGAATCCAAGAGTTGCTTTAAAACCAGGCTTGAAACACATTGTTTTGTCTTCTATCTTCTTGTCTGATTTGAATTAGAAATGAGGCTTTATAAAGTGAAACCTTTAAGGCTTAGAATTGCTTATAAATCCATTTAGGCAGCTTTTATTGGATTTGAAAGGCAAACCGGAGTAAAGTCTTTGATCTGCCAGCACACCATTTTCAAGTAAAGTCTGAAGAAGAAAAATCTGGGATAACCTGGTCAAGAAAATGCATTCCGACTGTTTCCTTTGAAGCCATACTAAAAGTACTTATTTACATCTTCTTAAGATCTCACTATTATTGTTAATTTCCATTTTACCATAAGCCTCTGGATTGTATTTATGCTGTACTGATTTCATTAGTTAACTGCAAGTGCTGATTACTCCGTAACAGGCAGGAGGGCTTTGCCTTAAGCTCACTCAAACATTTGCATATTATGCAATTTTCTCAACTGCTGAATAAGCACCCATTATATTTACATTGTTTTCACTGTCTGCACTACTAAGGATGCTAAAGTATCGCTCATAATTTGGGAACTGTAAAATGGTAGGATTATGGTTGTATTTTCATAGTTACGATAATCAGTGTAGCAGATATGTGAGCGATTCATTTATCATCAGTGTTTTAAAAAAAAAAATCACAGGGATGAGCTGATCATGGCTGACCCACCTGGAGCGTCGCAGAGGAACGTGTCTGGAGATGAGTCTCGAGCCAGCATCCTCTTGAAGCGAAGCCCGGAGGTTTCCTGGCTGCCACCGCTATCTCCACTTACAACCCCTCCGAAACTGGCACAGGTAGAAGCACACACATGCACCTTTTTTAGTCTCATAAAACACACCAACAACATTTTTTAAACAAGTAGAAAATGTATCAGTATGACAATTATATCATTTACAATACCTACATTAATTGTTTTTAGTCCACTTGGAGGCAGTGCAATAAACTGCAGACAAAACACTGACATGTTTTAACCTTTTTTGATGGTGAACATCTTAAATTTGTTTACATAAATAAGCAACAGGAATTTGGAGTTCAGTTTCAGATTACCTGGCAAACGTAAGTGGGATTTTTTTATCTTTCTTCTGCTCTGTTTTGGCCTCTAACATTTCCTATGAAAATATATCTGGCACTGCAGAATTAACAGTGGAGTGCTTTATGCTCCACTGTTCACAAGCTAGTTTTTAGCAAAAAAAACACTAATAAGAGGGATGAGAGTGAATCAAATGGCTTCAATCATTTGTATTCCATTAAAAAAACATGTTAAACTGAATAGTAAAAGGTTGTTATATAATTTATGTTCTCAAAATAGAGTTTTGTTCTTTAAGTCAATTTGCTTTATCTACAATCCTTTTTTTTTAAATGTTATTTCTATAAACACATGTGCCAATAAAAGTTATAAGTATTAACCCTAGCAAAAACTCTGTTTTTCAAACCCCGGCTGACCCCACAACCCTGTACAAGCAGCACAACGACTCGTATCTGTGTGCATGGGTCAACACTGCAGTCCTCCTGTAGAAAACCTGCACTCCACTGAATCTCCCTGCTGACCTTTTGCTGAGCTGCTGCGGTAAAGGAGACAGTTTTCTCCCCGGGCCGGTGTTCTCCTGCAGCTCGGACAAGCTGGACTGGCGAACTCCAATGTATGTTCCCCGTGGCTCAAAGCCCTGAGGAAGAAGCACACACACACACACACACACACACACACACACACACACACACACACACACACACACACACACACACACACACACACACACACACACACACACACACACACACACACACACACACACACACACATCAAAGCTAAAGACAGTGTGGACGCTACGTCCACACTGTCTTTAGCTTTGATGTGTGTGTGTGTGTGTGTGTGTGTGTGTGTGTGTGTGTGTGTGTGTGTGTGTGTGTGTGTGTGTGTGTGTGTGTGTGTGTGTGTGTGTGTGTGTGCGTGCTGCAGGTGATTGTGTGCAGACTGTATGTCTGGCCTCAGTGGGAGTAAATGAGTTGCAGCAGGGCAGAGTCTTTGCCAGACCCATTACACACACACACACACACACATGCATGCATGCACGCAAGCACACAAACACACACACACACAGCTGTTGTGTGTTTGTTGGATGACAGACAGGTGTGTGTTAACTTCATCTCGGCGTTACCCTGCCTGTTGTTTGTCAGAACTCTCAGCTTCTCTGTCATTATCATGGCTGCTTCTTTCTGTCTCTGCAGAGAAACAGCCCACAGTCTTCATTATGTAACATCAGAGTCCTGCAGACACACAAGCACACACACACACACACACACACACACACACACATCAAAGCTAAAGACAGTGTGGACGCTAGTGCCCATCAATGCACTGCAGCAGCTTACTGAATAAATCAGCATCACAAGCAGCGTATAATGTTGCATGAATAAGCCCGTTTGCTAGATGACTGTTTGATGTTATCTGAAAAGAAAGACACTTACAGTAAAAAAGCAATCCTATTCTATATCCTATAGAATCTGTATAGACTTATCCTGAATGATGCATTGTTAATATTTGTGTGTTGCATTTTGATTATAATGATTAAAGCAGTGTTTGTCCTGTAAGCTTGCATCTAAAAATATGTTTTTAATTAAGAATATGAGTGTGATCTCATTAGGTGCACTTTATTGAATCTGAGATAGGAGAGATAGGTATCATCAGAGAGAGAGAGTCATTAAATAAACTCCTAAATTCCTAAGTTGATAAGGGAGGTTTGTAATGTCGACTTGACAGAAGAGTTAGTTAGTTAGTTAGTTAGTATTGCATGTTCAGCACCAGCTGGAGATGCAGCATTACATCTTAGACACTGTTCGGTTTATATATGTGTGTGTATGACTGTGTGCGTTTGAGATTCACCAGAAGCGGATCGGAGAAGTCCGGCAGAGGACCGATAAAGAGTCCGGCCAGAGAGCATCCCAGCAGCAGCACGGCACAGCCCACCAGCACCGCTAACGGGTAGTCCACTATCACCTGGGAATAACTGCCACAGAAGAAGTGATGCTTATGGTTAAAAGAATAGTTATTATGATCAAAATAGGAAAGACGTGCAGTATTTGGGGCTTTTAAAGTGAAAATTGCTTTGAGTAGCCTACTTACTTTCTAAGAATATAGTAGAGTCCTCCATCCCTGTTAATAGTTGAAAACGTTGTTAAAATAATTAAAAAATAATACCACAGGAAATACTTCTGAAGTGTGATGCTACAGCTACATCTACCGCTAGGTTAGCTTAGCTTAGCTGGCATAACTAGACTGAAAACAGTGGGGAAAGCTGTCTCAGTCCAAAGGTTAAACAAATTATCAATGATGAAGAAAAATATATTCGGCTATTAAGATAAGATAAGACAGTACTTTATTGGTCCCAATTTGGGAAATGTTTGCGTTGCAGCAGCATAAAAAAGACATTGTATAATAAAATGTGTACATTTGACAACTATAAGGCCCTTTTGATTTAGATAAGGGTTATTTAAGTGTTTGTTGGGGGAAGTTGATTACCCTTGACGAAATATTGTCTCTCCCGATGTAAGTCTATGTGGAAAGGTCATCTCATTACAGATTTGAATGTTGTAATTCCATGGTTGTCACCACGAAGATTGTCTTTAATGCGAAGCGCTCTAACTTGGGGCTAAGGTTCGGCCTGTTTATAGTCTTTATGCCAAGCTAAGATAACTGGCTTCTGAGTGTCATCTTAACTCTCCACCAGAAATCAAATTAACAAAAATGTCAAACTGTTCCTTTAAACATACCTTACTGTCACCACATGTCGCTGTGTAGGCTTCTTTGTCTTGCTTTCATTTGACCCATGCAGCCAATGACATCTCACCGCGCCGTGGTTAGACGTCTGATGTGCAGAACTACGACCCGCTCTCATCACTACCTCTCCTTCTGCATGAGGACCTGTTGGGTTTAAATGGCAGTCGCGGCAGGTGTTTGGTTTGATTGGACCGTAATGGTTACAGTGGGGACATATCCGGTTCTGTTGCGATTCGTAGGCCCCAGGTTGGGGAACCTAAAAAAGTAAAGGAGGGTAGAAACAATATAAGTCACAGAAATGGTGTGTATTATCCTCTTCGTAAATAGGATCCTGCTGTTCTTCAGGTCTTTTGAGTGACTACAATAACTATTTTTGCCTCTGTCTCCAAAATCCTGGATTTACTTCTAACATTTTAGTTTTAATGAGTCCCCAAATATCCAGGCTAAACAGCACACAGTACATTGAGGCTCATGCATACTTGGTGATAAAGCTGGCAGGAGGAAGAGGGTCTGCCGAGGCTGCTGCAGCTGTCACAAAGCTCCCCATCCGACTGGTCAACTGTCAACTGGGCCTCCGCTGAACCCTCGCTGTCAGGAGGGCACAGAGACACCGCCGGGATCCCACTGAGGTTAGGAAGAGACAGGCGGGGGGAGACAGAGATGGGTGAGAAATTGTGAAATGATGAAGAGAATAGAAGAGAGGCAAAATGATTGACAGTTAAGTAAAAAAAATACCTAAACTGCTAAAAGCACAGTGTGTGAATATGCAGAGGTGGGAGTTTGAAAAACCTAACTATCTGTATTTCCTAGCACACTTGATTGACATCTTATTTTCCTGACTGCATTCTTGGTTTTATCTCTTATTCAGCGGTAAGTTGAGTGGGCCAGCAGAGATAACGAAGTTTGGAGTAGATTTCTGTGTTATGCACTTGGCTACCGGACATAAGGACGCCCAATTAAAAAAGAAAGGAGGGTGTGAGAGACAGAAGAAGAGGGTGAGAAAGTATTTCACATCATATCACAGACCCCATTATAAGAGAGGTATGTGTCCGTCTAGGATAGATTGATGAGACTGGGTGATGGCTCAGTGGGATGACAGCAGTTAGCAGAACTTCGTGGTGATATAATAATGTGCTTCACCTCTTTCTCTTTCCTACACTACATCATGCAACTCAAGGAAACATGGTTGCAGAATTATTCTTTTTAGCCACATAAGAGCTAGCTCTTGAGATACTGGTTGGTTCACCACTTTGGTCCACATTGAAATATAGGCTAATGATTTGATAGATTGACATACAATTATATACGGACATTAATGGTTCCCATTGGAAGATTCCTTGTGACTTAGGTGATCTGTTGACTTTTTCACCGGCGCCTGTGGAGAAGTGAAGTTGGCATTTGTGGGTTTAGGTAAAATGTCTCAAACACTATTGGATGGATTGCTATGACATTTGGTACAGACATTTATGTTTTCCCTCAGGATGAACTGTGATAAATGTAGTCTTTATCTCTTCAATGTCCAGTATTGTGGTTTATGGCAAAAACACTGCCTTAACAAATGACATTCTCAGCAGCGTTTAAGATGTGTGTCTTGTGTTTAGTTGTTATTATAACCTATAATCTTGAGGAGGTTATTTTATCAGTTCATTTTTTTTTGTCTATCAGCAGGATTTGGAGAAAACTACTGACTTTATTTGCATTAAACTTGGTGGTGTATCATGATGCACGGAAAAAAACCTAACATTTGGAAGCATATCCAAATCACGAAGCATATCCGAATCACGAATCATATCCAAATCACGCAGTGGAGACTATAACTATGACAGTAATTTTTTGTTTTCAAAAGAACCCTGTTGATAGAGACAAACAAGGCAAAGGGTGAGACCGATGAAAAATGATCTTTCTTCTACAAATCAGTACGTTTTAAACCTGCCTGCAAGTTTAAACTACCGGATGTTTTGCAATGCAATATTGGCAGACAACATAGAAATAGATTTTTCTAACCTAAAGCCTAATGGGGTAGACTGTTTATGGAGTGGTTCATTGTGATCAGAGAATCATTTATTATAGTTTAATTTGAACTTTTCCTAATATACATTTTAAGAAATCTCTTTATATTTAAGTGTACAGACAGACACACTGAGCCGTGCCCTAGCTGTATCTCAGTGAAGTGGTGTCTCGTCTACCACATGCTTGTTTTTCCACAGCAGACTGGATGCAACCACACTTCCTGCCTTGTCACCATGGTGACAGAGTAAGTCAACAGAGCCTAAATGACCCTACACAGTTGTATTTGCATCACATAATAAGGCACATGGATGATGAGTGGTCTGTTTGATTGTCAGCATACAGTAGCAGAGGGATTAACGGTGGAGCTCTGAACAGCAGTATTTTGTATTCACAATAACACAATAACATTGTAATATGATCTTAATGCGGAGTACAATGTGAGCCATTGTACTCTGCATTTCTTAGGCCCAAAGCATCTAGTTTAGCCTATTTAGGTGCTAAAGTGAGTAAATACACAATCATAGACATTATCTGGATGTCAACACTTTCAATTTATTTCAGAACAATTTCCATAGCAAGATAATCTCCCTCAGTACAAACCTGAGAGTGAGTATGTTACCCATGCCTGGCAGCATCTTTTCTACAGGGTTCAGGATAAAGAGTATTTAGCTCATAGCTTTATATAGCTCATTACTTCCTTTCGATGGTTCCTCGCGGCTAGAGAAGAGCAATTTGTGGTGATCATTAATATTTCAGTGTATTAAGACACAAGTACATCAAGGAAAGTGTCACTGAGGTGCTGCCATCACCCAGAATTAAAAGAAAAAGGTCCTTGCATTGTGGCATTGTGCAATTGAGGTCAGATGTACCTTGTACTTCTGAAAAACATCACTACAGTAACAGAGGAAATGGTTAAATAAAAGTGGCGGAGATCCCAGTTATAAGCTAACTGAATGTAGTCTAATACAAAAATCATAAAAAAAAAAGAGAAACACCTTGCAGTATAAAGTGCTATAATTCAGAACTGTAATCTTCCAAGAAGTAAGACCTATTTCTTGGCTGTTGTATTAGGCTAGATTTAGCTGACGAGTTTGCAGTAGTAGAAGTATTTGCGTTAAAGTAGCAGGCAAGTAAAGGTGCAGAGGTCACACAGTACAACCCCTGATTAATGTATATACTTTTAACCTGGTGTGTATATAAGGGCAACATACTCTATCACCATTGTGTTACATCTTGTAGCTATAGAGAGAGTGTTATAACGGACATTTTAATGAAAATCTTTCAGATTATTCTTTGAGGATGTGCACACTAAAATGTTAAAATAGTGATGAAGAGAGCTTTAAGGCATTCAAAAGACTCCAGCATGGAGGAAATGTCTGACAGACTGAAGACTGTCAGCTCTTACTACTCTCCTCCGTCTGCCTTCAGGTCTCTGTCTCTCTCCCTTTATACAGCGCGTCTCTTACATCAACTCTCTGGAAGCATGTCAATGTCATGTCCTCAAACATCCCCTCAACTGCCAATCAATAACACACATAAGAGAGAAAAAAGGGACAAAGGCTTGGGGTTTATGCAGGAAGCCAACTGTTAACCTTCCTCAAAAAAGAGAGCTTCTATCGGGCGTTTTAAAAAGGGCAAAGACTTGAGGGTCTGCCTGCGAATGGTGGCAGACCTCAGCTGTTTCCAGCCCTGCTTTCATGTTTGAAGCCCTGCTTTCATGTTTGAAGCCCTTTGGTCATTTTTTGTTTTATATGCAGCAGAGTAAGTGACAGGGTGAAATTAGTGAAAGTGACCCAGCAGGAGGTTGATGACACTGAACAGATCTTACAGTTCTCAAGTCAACATGAGTGAGAGGTTGTGTGTAGCTATAGGATATCTGAAGCAACAAATAACAACATAAAAGCTGATTTATTTGAAGAGAAATCCATTATTGCACTAACTCTTGTTTATTCTATTGTTTTAAATATCGATATACAGCATGATATTATGGATTAAGTATATTTGACCTAAAGATTTTGTGTTTATCAAACATAAGATAATCTTAAGTAAGTTGACAACAGCACTTGATTTCACCGCAGTACAAACAGTGCAACATATCAGGATTAAGGCTTTTATAATGTTGAAATTATTATAATATTGTAGAAATCATATCCTGTGCATGCTATTGTCCACAGCTGGATGAACAATATACGCACATCGACCACAGGAGCGTAAAAACACATCCACGTCTACTACAGTACATATTATGTTTATACAGTTAGCACCTGATAAATCCACAGACAAAAAAAACAAACCCACCTTTGGCAAGCCTCGTGAATTTCCATTTCATCTGTAGGAGAATCCATCACTATCGCATCCGTGCTCTCTCCTATTATCGAGCAAGCCTCCATCTTCCTTCTGTTTCTGCTTTATATATAAATTAAACACATAGGAAGATGCTCTGTTATTTTGAAATGGGCTTACCAACAGTGCCCATCTGCACTGAGTCCACGCGGATCAGCAGCTTTTTTCTGAGGCTGATACTACGGAGAAGCACCGGGGCTGTTTGGGTTAATCTGCCCCGAGCTGCACGCTGATTGGCGGAGCCGCGGTGATGCTGAGGCCGCTGCATGGTCGCTGTCCAACCGGCCGCGGTGCTGGAGCTCAGGGTGACGGATAGTGTGTGTTAGTGTCGGCTTAATTGGCTCGGACATGAGCTACAGATGCTGCTTAATGTATGTGGGGAAGATGCACAGACAGTGGTGCTGTGTTCAATTAAAACGATCATTCAATTTGGACGTCAAGCTGTGGATCATACCCCATGAATAATATGAATGTGCAACAGATTTATCTTGTCAGGGCTTATGAGGTGAATTAAGGTTGGGCTATTTATTATTGTCAACGTCAATCAATAATGAGGAATCTGGCATAAAAATGCACCCAGCTATCAAATCCTGAGACATTTTATTGAAGATATACCATGGGATTTACCAGTTGTGTTTTTTAACTGCTTTATAGATTAGCCAAACTCTTCATAAGAACAGCTTTTGGGTTGCAAGATTTTGTAAAATCCCTTTGACTGGCCACTGAAAGCAAGTACCCTATCAAAAACAAGTACAATTGCAGACTGGATGGATTAAACCACCCTAATATTGATTCCTTAAGGCTTCAAGATGCAGACTAAATCATCCTTACTGTATCTTTACCAAATAAGAAAGTTGAAAAATAAAATGTTCACACGGTTCTTAATGTTCTTACGGTGCCTAATAAACCGAGAACAAAATCCATCAATGCACCAAGTTTAAACCATAACTCTTCATAAAGGTGTCTTATTCAAAAAGTAGTACTCTGTAGAAGCATAGCCAATCATTCATCAATTACCTGTGGTAAGCCTGCAGTCATTACTCAATGATTAATGACAATATAGCTCTTAAATAAGGAAGATAAGAGGAGAGATACAGATATAAAAGAAAGGAAAAGAAAAGAAAAATGTCTTTGACTTTGGGGTTTTTTCGGAAGAGAAGTGAGAGTCACAGCTGACCGGCACAAAAGAAAGGATAAAGTGTGACACAGCAGACCTTGCTCTAATGAGGCGGCCGCTGGTCTGGCTCTTGTTATAAATATGAATCATGGCGCAGAGCCCTCGTGTCTAAGGGGCCACCTCAGAGGAAAGTAAAAAGGAAATAGATTTATTGGAATAAAGGCAAAGATCTGAAAAAGTAGGATGTGAGAAAGTCTGGGAAGAGAACAAAGTCCTTATCCGTGGTTTTAAATGAGAAGCAGAGTCAGTGGAGGAGGGATATCTTTATTTGTATCTCAATGATGTGCTTCAGTGAGTCGTGATTGGCTGATTGATTCAAAACTGATTCATGGTGAAATGAGACGACTGACTCAGAGTTGCTATGAGAGAGGGAATCAGTCAGAATCTGAGTTGGAGAGATTTTTAGACTTCATGTTTAAAGCTGCAGCTGAAAGCACTGAAAGCTATAAGTGGGCTTCCTAGATTAGACTTTCTTTGTGATCTCCATTCTCAAGTTTGTTTTGTGCACTGTTGTGCTTTGATTCAACAAGGCTGCTGTGTTGTTGGTTGGCAGGGAGGCTTCTGAGCAGCCTGTCTTGCAGCTGACATAATGCCTTGTTGACTCCAGACACTGATTAACTTACACTGTTGAGCTGCCACACATACACTCAAGAAAAAAATCTTCCAAATAACACATAACCAAAGCCTGACAGGCACGTACTGGGAAACACACACACATACACATATAATGAGAGGCTGAAGAGAGGGGGGTGGCTTCTGGCTGGTTCTGAGGTGACAGCCATGGTAATTTCCTGTGGCAGATCTCTGATGCGAAGGGAAACGCTTCATTACAGCTTCAGTGCAGCCTCAAGATCTGTGAAACAAACACAGTTGGAAAAATAATGACAGGAAATTGAAAGAGTGGAACTGTATGGAGGCAAAGAGCAGGGTACTTTTAAACTGTGTGAGTTTTAAGTTACTATAATGGTTCTGATCAGTGATAAAAACAATCTCGTCAGTGGTTGTTTGTGATTGAAGACAAAAGGTGTTTTGCTGCCACCTGTTGGACATATTGTAATATTGACAGCAGTACTCCAATCTCCTTTGTCTATCCAATAATCAAAAGAAATGTTTTGATGTATGGTGTTTTATTTTTAACATCACTTTAAGGCTAAAATAAGCTTATAGTTTAAATGAACCTGATATTCCTTGATTTTATGAAATTGTTATTTTTCTTAATAATGTCAACATTACTTAATGCATATGTTACTTATACATTAATACCAACAAAGCATAGTGAATTGAAAATTAATCATCATACTAATTAAAAAACATACTTTATTTTTGTTGCAATCAAAGTTTAATTTCTAATTTTAACTCTTTTTAATTTTAGTTTTTTTGTGTGTGTCTGAGTCAAATAAAAAATGTACAATATTAATGGCCGCTGCATTTCTTCATGCTCTGCGAACGGAGAGTCTGATTGCTGTTGTAAAATCAGCTGCGTAAAGGCGCTTTGACACGCGGATTGAGTGACAACATGAGGTCGAGCTCTCCTGCGAGGTTGTTCAGCGGGTGTAAAGTTACGAGCGGACAGGACACACCTCTAGAGGGAGTTCCCGGGGAGATGGAAACGAGGAGCTGATCACTCCTGCAGCAGAGAAGTCAGCAGCCCTTTCACTCTGAGCTGAGCGGAGGTCCGAGCCTGCGGCCGTGCGTCTCTCCAGCAGCAGTAGCCGTGCCACGGGAGGGAAATGCCCGGGATGGGCCACTCATTACGCGCGGCAGCCCTCCTGGCTTTCGTGGTTCTTTCTATTTTGGTGTCACTCTTGATTAGCAGCGTGCAGCAGTTTGGAGCAGGAATATATCACTTTTCCAATGCAACTGTTGCTGGTGATGAGGAGGAGTTCGCGTCGCTCCACGGGGCGTTGATTTACCAACTCAACCAGAGGCGCAAAGAAATCATTCCGCTGCTTTTATTTGATGGTGAAGAAACCTGGGAAAGTTTTTACCAACGTGATCAAACACAAGACTCCCCTATGGATTACAGTCTCTGGAATGAGATCACGCATGGCTCCAGGAAAGCGCATATGGATGAAATGGATTGCCAGTCTCTGGTGGACATGCAGGCGGTGGAGGTCCTCGGGTCTGGATACACTAAGCTGGTTGTCAAAGTAAATCTGGCCGGAGGTCAGCCTGTTGCGTTAAAACTCGTCAATGAGCAGGGGATCGACATGGGAAAATGTGTGGAGGATTTTAAAGACCCTCGAGGGTGCCGTGAACTTGTTTCTTACAAGTTGAAGAAAGAAATAGTCCTGTTGCAGAGGCTACAGCATCCTAACGTCATCAAGGTAAACTGCTCCCTCTGTCTGCCTTATGTGCTTACATTTAAAGAAAAAAACGTTTTTTTTTCCTATTGAATATTTAAGACTTCTGTCTATATATCAAATAAACGTTATAGACAACACATTGTAATGCATTAGAGACTTCTGGTCACTATTAAACACTGGTGTTAGGCTGGAATATTATTAAGATTTTCCATATTCCTTCTCAAATTTCCCTTTGTCTCACACAGCTGGATGGGCCACACTGGCTCTGCAGGAACCTTCCCATGTAATTAAATTAAATTCACTGACCCTCTTCTGACCTCTGGGTCCAGTTTGGCAAGAGCAGACAATGTGCCTCTGTCCCCTTTCTCTATCCCTGGTTGCATCTGAAACCCCCACAGAGTTTATTCACTCAAGCCATTACAGCCCAATTTAGACCTAGTTTGAATTAAACGGACAAGTTTGTTACTCCAGCAATCGCGTCACAGCGGTGTGTCCAACAGCTCATGAGTCAATTAAGTTAAAGTGTACAGAGCACATTAATATGAAAAGGAAGAAATCATTTTTTCTCTTTCACTGTGACTAACTTACAGTTACTCTTCACTTCCGCAGCTCAAAGGTCACTGTGCAGTAGATGCTGGAGGAAGAGGAGGAGAGGGGGAGAAAGTCACTGTCATCCTGGAGCAGGGGAATCCTCTCCAGATGATCCAGTTGCTCCAGAGCCCCTGGGAAGACAGATTCCGGGTAAGATCCGGCTTTCAGCTGTTCCCTGCGCATGGTCTTGTCATTTATCCTTTTCACTACACTGCGAATGGGGGAAGTTGAAACTCTGCCACATATTTTAAACGTTATGGATGTGCAGGCTCTCGCTCCTCTTGGCAGTAGAGGCGGAGGTTGAGAGATGAGGGAGGCGGACATTTGAAACTCCTGAAGGTCTGACATCTGTCCCTCAGTGTATTTGATCAGGCCCTGCCTGGAATGGAGATGGGTCCTGGAGTTAATCCACTGCAGGCTAGGAATGTCATGTCACACACACACACACACACACACACACACACACACACACACACACACACACACACACACACACACACACACACACACACACACACACACACACACACACACACACACACACACACACACACACACACACACAGAGAGAGTTTTAGTCAACCCCCATCACAGGTATGCTCACAGTTGGAGTCAACAGAGGTTGAATTTACACTCCAGGGATCTGAGCGTGTGTGTGTGTGTTTGTGCATGGGTGTGTTAAAAGAGAGAGATTTTAGTTTATAAACACAATTAAAAAAATGGAAAATAAGAAATTAGAATGCAAAGATAAATTATGAGTACATAGAAATCGGACTCCGACAGTAATCAATAGAAGTGCCATTATTCTAAAAAGTTCAGAGAATTTTTATTTTTTTAAATAAAACGAGAAATAAAAACAACCAAGATGAAAATCAGGTAAACAGATCAGGAAGGAGAAGGGTAAAACATAAAACAGCGTAGGACTGAGATGAAGATGTTAACAGTTCTTAGCCTTTCTTTTCATGTTGTACATAAATGTCAACATAAAAAACAAAAAAAGTAGTTGGCATACATGTACACAGGGAACGGGGACCTACATGCCTTTCCACGTGAGTGAATATGA